TGCCAATAGGATTTTTTGCAGCTTTTAAAAACTGTCCTCAGGTAAAAGACTTCACAATTTTTGTCATCTGCTAGTGGGAACTGCTAAAGAGCACAATCTAATGGAGTCAATATTAATGTCAGCTGTTCTGGTGTAAATGCAAGAGATCTCTTCTGAAACTCCAGATCTACATTAACGTCACCAAAGTCAGTATCTATTCATATTCACAACAAAATTCAAAAAAAGATTATTTCAAATGTAATAGCAGCAATTTAGAGGATCACTTGATCATTCTGATAACTACAGTTATTAACATTTATGTTTATATTCACTGCACCAATAATAATTGTAAGAGTAATAAGTAAAATTGTATTAGCATTTAGTATTTGTCCTTCACAGTAAGCTCATAAGCACATCACAGCACCAAGGAATTTACAGGAGCTCACAAACATGGATATTACACCTTTGGCAAGAGATGGGGAGCTTAGTCATAGGGACATGGAATTGGCTATGCACTGAATTCCACCATCAGAATAGCCTGAAATCACCTTGAAAAATTGTGCACAATCGTTAAGCTTCATCTTGAATGTTTTACCAAAGAAGCCAAGCCATTAATGAAAAACTCCTTGCATTTGGACAACTTTTGCTTACCAACAACATCAAGGTGGTACGTGTGATTGATGGATCCGTACTGGTTTTCCACGATACAGGTATAATTTCCTTTGTCAGACGGGACCACGCTCTCCATGATGAGGCTCCAGTGCTGGTTGCGAACCTGGTGGGGTTGCAATTAGAGAGGCTGAGAACTTTTTGAGCACAGTTTCACCCTCACCCCTTCAAAAGAACTCTTTTCCACAGAAGTTAATCTTTTGTAATGCATTTTTAAAGCCTCTTCTGCGCTCGTTTGAGAGTTCTGGAGACTGGAATACTTTATTTATGCCTGAGCAGGTATAGTATGGCTATAGCAGTAAAAGCTTTCATGCATTCTGCTATAAATTTACCTCATCCCCCAATTTGAGCACTTTAGGCCTCAGTGCACATTCAGCCCTGCAAGACTCGCGCCAATGGTGCCAATTAGCAGCAGTTGTCTTACCAGGCTTGCCTCTCAATCAACTCCAAAGTGAATTCCCACCCTCAAGATATTTCCCATCTGTCTCCAAACAATCATCCGAACACATTAACTACCCACCAGCAATATGGGATGGATATGATCCCCTAACATCAAAGTCTCCGCTCTTTTCTAATAGCTCAATTACACAGCCTGAGTTTGGGGGAAATAAAGCACAGAATTGCAATGTTTAGGATCCCTCCCACAAGCACAGAGTGGCCAGATTGCATCCTGTCATGGGAGAACCCAACTTGAAGAGCATTAAGAAAATGCTCCCTGGAGCTGAAGGCACGTGTATAAGTTCACTTCACACAACAGAACATGAAGAGGTTCTGAATCTGTCCCCATTTGAACTCAGAAGCAGCATTTGAAATGGTCTCTCAGAAAACAGGATCAGGCCCCAAACTGGAAGGATTGTAGTTCACATCCATTCTTCTCATCACAGATTGGCTCCCAAAAGAGCCTCCCTGGCTAGACATCAAACCCGTGTTTCAACAGTATATTTTGAAAAAAGGCTCGAAAAAGCCTAACACTACGTAGCAGTAACGTACAATTTTTTAACTGAAATGTGCATGATTTACTAAATGTTTTTGCCCAGTAATTACAATCATCCAAATGGAAAGTAGGAATTATCCCTCCTCCAGTGCAATACATGAGAAATACCTGAAGTATTTTGAGCAAATTACTGAGATGCCTTTTTTCCCCCTCCCTATTTTGTTGCCTTTTTTTTTTTTTTGCCAAGCCTCTCCACCAAATTTAAACCGATTTTCAGTATCTTTCCAACAATCAGTATCTTTCCAACAAGCAACTCATCTTTAATCTAAATAGCCTATATCAGAAGTGTATATAACTTCATCCCAAAAATATAGCCTGGCGTTTGTAAAACTAAGCTGGAACCAAAATGCAAATAAAGAATGGTTAGAAATCCTGCAAGGAATGTTCCATAGAAACATTCTACTTTCAAAGTATTGTATTTTAAAAAATGGCACACAATTCTATTTAATTTGAGGAACAAAATAAGAATGTCTTCAGTAAGTTGATAATTCATGAAAATTATTCATTTGGCAATGAAAAAAAAAAAAAAAAGGAGAAGTTTTAAATGAGTTGCAAAAGAAACCAAAATATAATTATCCACACAAAGCAGCACAGTTCAACCATACATTTTTATTCCTCAGGCAAAGAGGCTAAATACAGGAAATCCATGAAGAAACCATAAGTTTTTACAGTCCCTACAGAGTCAAGACCATTTCTTTGCTCTGTATTTACCCTGGCTGAATTGAAATGTGTAAAAGACGACTGCAGGGATGAAGCTTATCAAAATGCATACGTGAAAACACACACCTGTTAATGCTTAAACAGTAAAAACTGATAGAAGTGCATTTGCTTTCTGGGTGGTGTACAGAAAAGTGCGCTCCTGTGCCCTCTCCTATAGGGTTTAGTGCAGAATTTATAACCCCTTAAAACAAACAGGCAAAAATTATTATTAGGACGGACAAAAAGAATAAAAACAAAAATTAAAAAAGGTTTGGGAGTTTTGGCCTTGCTATAGGGATTCGGGTTATACCTTGAGGCCTTTGAGGGCTGATTTGGAAGTTCAGGGCCCACCGTTTGCCAGCGGGGAGGAATTCCGCCCGGATTCCAGGCGGGCGCTATCTGGGCAGCACCCGCAGCCCGGGGACCGGCTGCCCGCAAGGCAAATTGACTCAGGGCATTCCCGAGGGAGGACAAAGTGCTCCCGGCCACTATCTGATTGCGATAAAGGGAGCACAAAGAAGAGATTTCTTAGCTGCAGGGGAGAGGGGACGGGAGGATTAATGAAAATCGCATTTTCCTTCCCTTCCTTTGTGCTGCAAGTTGGGGAAAGATTGTCTTTTCCGAGAGCGACAGAGCATATTACGTGACCTGGTAATGGCAAAGTTTGGCCCTACCTATTTCAGGCTGCTCGGTTTTCCTATATAGTTTGAGCAAATTCCACATCCAGATTCGATGCAACCCAATATAAAGAATCATCACAAACCTGACTTAACATAGACCACTATGGAAAGATTCCTTTTTTTTTTCCTGAGGATTCCTTCATTACAAGCTTGTACAGTGACGATGAGAAAAGCGTAACTCTTCCGTTTCCAGGATAATTCTGAATAAACCAAGAGTGACCTCACGCAGCCCCTCTAGCAAAAGCAGCCCCGGCAGCCTCCCAAAGCCCAGGACACCTCACTCTTTAGCAGTGGTTCACTGAAAACAAGATTTCCACCTTGCAAAAGATGGTTATCCGGAACACTGACAGAATCTGGAATATACAGCAATTCAGTGAGCAGAATGACAGTGATAAGTAAATGCTTCCAGATCACTTTGAATTCAATGTATTTATGAGCAACACAAAAACCTCATATCCACAGCTGTGTCCCCTCTCCCTTTTATTTTTTTTCTCCTTTTAGACTAAAGAGACATAAAAAGTTTTATGATTGAGAATTATAAGTATATACTTCACACATCCAGCTGGCTTTAGATGTAGACAGCTGTGCTTTCTTCTCAGAGTGCATATACACCTAGGAAATTGTACACCTTTAATACCCATGGTCAAAACTTTAATTTCTACCATTGAATAGTATCACCCTGCTGCCCAAGACAAGCTGGCAGGGGCAGCACGCTGCTCCACAGGCTACTCTTCTAAACCAGAGAGATCAGGTATCTGCATCCTGCCCTGCAAGACACACATTTTCCTTCACTGCTTTCAAGAGTGATATCTGTATTTCCCCTCCATGAGATGTAAAATGTTCAAGCAGTGTCTCAGGACTGAAACGGTTACTACTATTTTCCAAGACAGGATTAGGGGGATTTTAATTGGCTTCATTTTTACAACAACTGTAGGAAAGGTGAAAATCACTGAATTGTAGCCAATTCATTAACACTCTGCAGCATTATGAAAGGCAGGAGGTGTTGCCAGGTGTACACTCATAAGCAACAGTAATTTATGGTGTAAGTAAACATAAATGGAAAAGTCTACTTAGATAATTAGTGTTCATGCAGGGAGATTTTCTGGGCTTTGCTCTTTGCTAGCACAAATGTTGGAAAATCTGACACGTTCTACAGTAAATCTAGCTAGGGAAGGAGAGACTTAAGTCTTGTCCTCCTCTGCACTGGAAAACATATTTCTTGTAAGAAGCAGGATCTGAGTCAAGAGCCTATGAAGCAGTAGACATAATTGCTACATCAGGGCATTGCAAAATATGGTACCTTAACTACAAGGCAATCCTGCTGCAGGTAAAGCATGCAGGAAGACATGCAGTGTTGCCGCTTACAACCTTGACACCAGATGAATTTAATTCAGGAGCGTCTTTTCCCTAAAAAAAAGTTTCTGAGGTGTTGCATACATGAGGAAGCTATTGATAGAAAATCTGCAGGAGGAGGTAAAACAACACAGAAATCTGCCTCAGGATGCCAAGGAGAAGGCTTGAACAGCAACTGAACAACCAAACACATGTAAGGAGTGGGATAAGATGACCGAATTTTGACTTTTGACCTGACTTAGGTAGATACATGGAGGTTAAAGGTGTGTGCACTAACCCATAGAACTAGCTGGCCTTCCTAATTCTCTCTTAATCAGTAACCACTAATTTAGAATGAAGCATGTAATCTGAAGCTATTTAAAATTCAAACAAACCCTTGTAAGCAATTGCTGTTACTTTCCCTCAAATTCTGCTTCCTATTTCATTTTCACAGGCCATAAACTCTGTAGAAAATAGCAACTTTTGAATACCGACCCTTCCTTCATTAAATTGCCTATAATCACCAAAGTAGATGGTCATCTTTTCAGCAATGCAGCTGAAAGAGCAAACCAAAAACTTCATTTCTAACTGTACTTTGCAAAGTCAATCTTTGATTTTCTAAGTCTTTATATTCTTTAGTTGCATTTGTGTTCTACAAACACGAATTCAAAAAATAAATAAAAAATAAAGCTTAGTAACAGCCAAAAAGCCACCCACCCTTCCCCAGAAGAAAACAATAACTTTTTGCTCCCAAATTTGATCCAAGCCCATTAAAAGATTTTCTGTCGACTTCAGCAAGCTGGGCTTTTTTACAGCTTTTGTCCAGAATTGTCCAGAATAGAAATTGCAAAATAGCACAATAAGATCTTACCTTATACCCGCCAATACGATGCTCTTGTTTGAACTCCTTCCCGTTTTTCAGCCATCGCATGGTTGGTGTTGGGTTTCCCATGGCCGGACAGCGGAACTTGACGGTGTTGGCTGCTGGCACCGCGTGGAGCCTCTTCTCCATTTTGTCGGTATGAGTCCAATAGGGCGCTCCTGTTCCAAAAAAATACATCCAGAAATATAAGTACTGAAAACCAGGTTCCTTTTCCAGCACTATCCAGACCTAAAGAGTTGTAGGCATTTGCCTGAGGAGAGACGGTGCGAGTTAGGAGCGGAAATCAGTGTTGACCAGAGTTTTGAAAATAAGCTCCATCTGCAGCTTTTAGTACATGATTTGTGACAAAATTTCAATAATTAACCACAGACATCCTTTGTTTTGTGCACGTCATAAAAGACAGAGGTACTGAGTTTTCAGCAGACTCAACTGCTCAGAGACATTTGACCTCAACTCGAGTTGTTGTGTGTGCTCAGCCAACTCATTTCTTGGACTCAAGCTCTGGAGCTGGACATACAAAGTCAGAAGACCCATCTGATGTCTCAGTATTAATTTCCCCTGCCCCATGCTAGCAGAGGGTGAACATACTTACCCACCTGATGGTGTGTTTGAACCCAGAGAGCAGTCAGAGAACTGCTACAGAAGCCACTCAAATTTATATAGGAAGGAAATATTTTGAAAATCTTACCAAAGAGCAGGAAACTAAACTGACAAACATGGACCTACTAAACTCAATAGCTGTTTTGAACATTTTGTAGGTATGAAATTTGACATGGATTTCCCACTCATGAGCCTGTGCATGCCCAAGCGCTCAATCAAGTCCAACACCATTTCATTAAGTGAGACATATACACATATAAGTTAGCCCATGCCCTGGACCCCAGCACCACTTGAGCTAAATTGCATAGTGGTTTCATGACATGGCTCCATTTGTATCACTACAATCATTTTTAAATAAGTAAAGACTTGGGATCTGTTTAACGGTAGGAAACACTAAGTTCTTTTACAATGGATTCTTCCTGAAATAAATCAGATTAGTGAGGAATTTTTAGGACTAGAGGGGTCCAGAAAAATAACTCTATTTCTCTCAGCCCTGTTTCATTTCCTTCATTAGCAGCCTAACACTCCACTATAAATAAGCCCTTCCGTTCACCAAATATTTATAGCAGTTCTTATAATCAGTGCAAACTCAGAAACCCTGCCACCCCTCTAAATAAAAATACAGCTGGATAGAAAATACAGGAATAAATCCTTTAACAACATCTCTCTCTGTATAAAGAAAACATTCCAATAGCAAGTCTTGAAGTGATGCTAAGAACGATAACTGATTTTTTTTTTCAGCCTGAAGAGGCAATTAGTGGTAAAATTAATGAAGTAGAAAAAGCAAAGGAAATTTGTGCATGTAGTCAAAATAGAAAATCAGGTAACTATTGAAAATTTAACTGCAACACTACAGTAGGCAAAGGCAGAATTGCTTGTTGGTACTGATAAGCAAAAAGAGCATTTTCTCTGGATCACTAATCATATTGCACAGGGCAGCATGGCATGGAAGACGCAGCCTTGGGAGGATGCAGCAGGTATGGAGACAAGGAAGAGAGGCCCCTCGTGCTGGGAGGAAGGAATCTGCTTGGAAAACTGCCCCTTGCACCCTGGGAGGTGCTGGGGATCTTGGCCCAAACACACACAGACATCACATGGTGAAACCACCGTGGGAAAGCACTTCAAGACACCCTGCCATTCTCCACTAGACAACAGCAACACATATCGGCAGCTTAACTTTCCTTTCTTTTTAAAGAAAAGAAAAAAAAAACACACAGAAAAAGGCAGCAGGGTCTACAAACCATAACACTGACGCTAACTGATGAGCACAAGACATTTGTCTTTATAATGATCTTACAAAGACCTACAGGCACCTTTACTCTTTCATCTGTTTTGACAGGGAAAACGCCCAGATTTGCTAAAACCAAGAAGGAACGTCCTTATTCAACACACACTGCTCTGTAGCCCAGGTTTGCCAACTAGGAGGGCAGGTGAAGCGCCCGTGTTAAAAGTTCACCGCGATGCCAGGGCAAACTGCAGCCCATCGCAGTAATGAGCAGGAGGCAAACTGGTGGGAATTCCTGATTGCTTTTAGAACCCTCATTAGTGGAGAAAATATCCTGCTGACCCACACTGCACTCGACTGCAAATACATTAAATCTAATCAGGCAAATCTCCTACATGCGAAATTGAAATTAGACAACCCAGGGGACCACTTTACTTCAAGATTCCTGGATTTTGTTAAACTTATCTGCTACAAAGAAATACAAAGAGAGACAACTCCAAGCCTGACTGACAACCACCTTGAGCAGGCAATGGTCCATCTGAAATGGCCACAAATTGCCCCAAGGTTTCCAGTACAATTGTATTTGACCTTTAATTAAAAAGCACTTCCAGGCAACATCCGATTTTTGCTGCTCCCTTGAGTGGGTTTCCACTCTAAAGGATTTGATGAATTTGAAGCTTTTCTTATCCTTTCTGAAATTCTTCAAGGCATGAAAAGAACAGCATGTGGATTACATTTAGACACTTTTTGTTCCTAGTGCCAATTTACCATAGCTTGGCCTAGAAGAAATTCTTTAAACTGTAAAAGGGAAGAAACCCATACAGGTCCCAACTGCCTGACTCCAATTGCCTTGAATTCAAGGTAAAACAGAAGCAATTTCCAGGCTACCCAGTAGGCCTGAGCGTGACCTGGGCAAGGCATATCCTGCAGACCATCACAGCCACTGCTGCCTCGCCAGCAGTGCATGTGGACAGGTAGGACTGAAGGATTCTAAATGTTAGAGACGTTTTTCAAAAATCACAATGAAAACGAAGCAAGAAGTACCACTAAGATATTCCCCACTAAGAACTGATGAGCCCTCAGCTTTGTAAGAGGGATTTTCAAGTCAGTGTCCTGGGGAAAAAGCCTTGGAGATGCCCTCCAAAACCAAGACTCTGGTTTTGGTCACCAAGCCCTATCTGACTTGCCATCCAAGCCATTTTGGTGGAGGAGAGAGCTCTGTTTTGCAGAGGAACCTATCCTACACCATCCCCATAAGCACTAATCACTTCAACAAAAGCTGGAAGTGATGAAATATTCAGGACGCAGTCTGGAACAAATCTACCACATTGCTTTTTCAGACAGCTAAAATATCTGTCAAGCCAGAAGAACAAGGGTGAAGTCTGCTGTGCATGCTCAAGTAAGGAACATGACACCCAGGCCAGGGGTCACGCTCACATGTGCACATGCAAACTCCTTCATTTCCACCAAAATGGGCTGCTTCTCAAAGCTACCGGGCACTCACAGTCTCCACTGACTCCAAAGGGAGTTGCATTTGCTGGGTAGCCATGGAAATTAGGCTGAACATCCTTATCCATTTCCCTCCCCGCATTTGAAAAGCTTGCCCTTGGAAAATATATGTTTTAACAGAGGAAAAGAAATTTTAAAAAGCTTAAAAGAAAACTTACAACCCTAAATGAAGCAGTTCTAAAAGGTTTTGCTTTATTTTTAAATATGCAGGAATGAGAATGCCAAGGTTCAGTTCCTGGGGAAGGCACTGGAGCCATTTCCTGCCTCATCTCATCATAATTAACATGCCAGGACAGCTGGACTTTATCAGAACTGATTCATCAAAAAGCAACAAGCTTTGAAGACTATGGCCTTTTGTTTTTATCAATAAAGGCATAACCAGGCCAATTTCCATTGCTTATCCTTAATGATCACAGCTGTAATTTGTATGCAAATTATCAGTTAAATTGGGTTAGATCTGTAATGTTCAAACCATGAATCAGGAAACATTTAAGAGCTCTTCAGTAGCAACCAATGACCATGGCGAGGTCCTGGAGCTCCCCAGGCTCTGCGCACACCAGGCCGGAGGACGCGGTGATGGGCGCTTGGCCGCTATACAGCACTGCAGCCACACGGCAGCTGAAGGATAGACTCAGACTATTCAGAGGGAGTCACTTTGCAATCTGTATTGCTATAGAGTTCCTCAAACTAGCTGCGATCTTTTGGTGTCATATAAAACCCAGGAGAACGCTGCTGGGAAGGCCTGGAAGATACCAGAGCACACAAGCTGCAGCTCTTTGCAAGAGCATCAGTCCCACCCTCAGCCTTCCCACAGCTCCCATGCTGCCAAATCACAACCATCTCTCAGCAAAGTGGTATTAATCCAGACAAATTAGTCACTCTGATGCAACTTTTCATTGAAAACAGACCGCGCACAGGGATGCCGTGCCACATTGCTCTGGTTCCAGCTCCCCCAGTTGAGCGCTCAGACACCAGCAGGAGACGGCACGGACGCTGCTCCGTGTACCCATCCCCAGGCTCCAGGGACCCCCGTGCTCCGTGGGCACCCCAAAACTGGGCACACTCATGTCTGCAAAATGCAGCACCCAGGAGCTCTCTGTCCTGTTCCACTTCCCTCATCTTCTTCATTCTGGAAGTTTCTGCTCTTTCTCCTACTCCCATTTCAGATGTTTTAATGTGCACAGTTCAGTGGCAGCTTCCATCTTTTCCAGGGAAAGTGTGACTGCCCCTTGCTGAAGGTGGCTCCCAGCCTGGCAGACGGGAATTGCTGATGGCCTTTCACCATCTCCCAAGCAAAGATGGATGGATAGAAGCTTGAAATGGAAGCTTGTATTACCAAAGCATCCCTCATGTGACAAGAGACACCGCTGGGGAGTTCTCCCTGTTCCATGAGAGGGAAGGGAAGTAACAAGGATGTTACAGAGCACATTTTGTTGCCTTGAAATAAAGTCTTTTTCTCTATTTTTCTATTCTCTTCTCACTTTTTTTGCACTTCCACAATGCATAATAAATTCATAGTAAATTTCCAGAGCTATCAGTATGGACTAGAAGCACAGCCATCTTCATTAACACACTGAAAATATTGCAAGCCCTTTACTATCAAATAGCAATAAAATTAAGATGGTAGCACATACAGGGAAGTTTCCTAGAAGCAGGAGAAGGAAGAATTTTTTACTCACAAAGAATACACAGAACAATTGAGGTTGGAAGGGACCTCTGGAGATCATAGAGGCCAAATCCCTGCTCAAGCAGGGACATCTAGAGCACAGGATCACATCCAAAACATCCCCAAGAAGTCACAGCCCGTTATCCTATTATCTCTTTGGAGAGATAGGATGGGTATAGGCTACAGCTGCTTCGTGTCAGCCACTTCGAGCTGCACCTGTGAATCAGAGCAGCATCATTGCAGAGGCCAAGCAGGCACCTACGAACTTATATAATTTTAAATAGCATCGAGTGTTTCACAAGTTCAGGCCAGAGGCACCGTATGCAACAGTAACTATCTCGAGTCCTTGAAATAACCCTAGGACTTGATCATCTGCACAAGTGTTTCAGCTATATCACACACACACCACTTATGAATTACTTTGAAAAATAAATATACTGCCTGACTAGCACGTTCGTTAACTAGATGACATCTCTAATGAAGGATCTCTGTGTTCTGCATGTTATTGACCTCATGGACCAGCAGCAAGAGCGAACTACCAGCGATCCAAGGGGATTTTGCAATAGGGCACAGGGGCAAAAGGAACAAATACCAATTCCACATTTCTTTCCTCTTACTGACTGCTCTATCTGGACTGGTTAATAACCTTCCAAATTCCAGAAGGGGACTGAACATTAACATCCAGATAGATTTAAATCTCTTTTAGTCTATTTTCGCCAGGCACAAGCAATATGAAATACGTGGGTTTACCGGTTGATTGCCCTCTTTGTGACAAACACTGAGGTCCTTCATGGGCAAAAACAGCTCATTCTCCACAATGGGATTTCCATCTAATTCAGGATTTCAGATTTGTCCACTGCAACCCAATTTTATTTCTACAGCTTCCATCCTACCATTTAATAAAGTGAGTTCGATCTTTGCGTCTTCTCTTTAGATTTCAGCTCAGATTCAGCAACAGGGAAAGTTTGTGTGTGTGAGAGACTGTGACACAGACAAGGGCTGAACTTCAATTCGGGAAGAAGAAAGGAAACTGAAGAAAGGCAAGGAATAAGTGAGACAGAAAGAACAGACCAGTAAAATGTGTTTAGAAGAATATTAGTTTATTTTTTTTTCTCATTTCCAAATAATGAACTGTGCAAACAGAAAAAGGAAAAGGAGAAAGACACTATTTGGTAACACATGCTGTTAACATCCAAGAAGCTATAAAGGCAGAAGCGCAAAACTGGACAGCATTTTCCAAGTGGATCCTGCTAGGCACCTCCGGCAGTTGGCTCTTACTTACTCATCTGGTTGTTGTCATTCACAAAGTCCTCAGAACCGTCATTGTCATCTTCATCATCCCCAGAAGAAAGAGCATCTGTGCATCAAAAATAATCCAGATTTTAAATCAGCAAACTCTATGGGCAAAAAAGCCAACATGCTACATCTTAAATTATCTCTCAAGGAGAACAGATGTTATTTGAGTCGTGCAGAAGTTATAGAAACAGAAAACCCAGCCATAAAATGTGTTATTCTTATAACATTCTAATAAAACTAGCTAATAATCCTGAAACACTACAAAGTTTCCAAAGAGAGGTTGCTAACTCCAAAAATCTTTCTACTTGTAATTTTTCTTTTTCTTACACACATTCAGTTGAACAGAACTAAGTGTTCCTGAATGATTGCTCTCCAAACTAAAAGCAGTGTAAGGGGACGTAGGACACCCCTTTCACTCTTCTGTTGTACTAAAATATCTTTTGTATCCATTTCACTGGCTTTATCATCATCACAGTGATTCTGTATAACTTAATTCTGTCAGAGAAGCATAAAACAGAAGGCTAGATCTTCAACAGCTATTAATCAGCATAGACCCCATAAATTAAATGGAATATATACAAACTGGGTCTGTTTCAAAATTTGGAGAAAGAGGAAAATATTTGAAACTCAGCTACAGAAAAAATAAAATAAAAAAACACATCACTTCACACCCAACTGGACTGTTTTGGGTTATTTCATAACCTTATATCACATCGTACAGCTTCTACATGCAAGACCTACGCGTAATTCACTCACCTGTAATATTGACAATGAAGTACAGAGTGTCACTGTCTAGGGTCCTAACAGCAGTGCAAGCATAGAGGCCCGAATCTCTGGGTGCAGCATCCTTAATCTGTAAGTATTCCCCAATAATCACTGTCCTATTATCAGGGCCCAAAGGGGCCCCGTCCTTAGTCCAACTGATCATGACGGCGTCTTTCAACTGACAGCGCAACTCGAGCGGTTCTCCTGGCAGGGCTGAGTACACATCGGGCTGAGAGATTTGGTATTTGGTTGGTGGCTCTGCAAAGATGGAATGAAGGAGGGAAAAAAAAGGAGAAAGAAGAGGGAAAGGAGAGAATTTCCAACAAAAGTCAGTGAGGGCCCTTTTGTACCCACAGAAATCAAGTTACGTTAAATAAAAAGTTTCATTAGCCCAGCAACCTGTCTCATAAAACTGAATCACATGCAGATATGAGATAGATTATATTTGCAGAAAGGTAACCACAAAGAAAGCTCCTTCCCTTTGGGTTGATATCCCATTCTGTGCATTCTCCAGAAGTAGGCACGAGCATGAAGACTTCAAAACTTATGTCTATAATTTCAATGAATGTTTATCTTTCCTCATCCGTTTTTAAAAGTTTTTTAAAAGTGTTTTTCTTTTTTTTAAACTTGCCAAGCGCTATTTAGGAACAAAAGGGCAGTTAAGAAAACCATGAGCAGCTAAACTAACAAACGTGACTTCCTATGCACAGCATATAAGATGTCCTCTATCCTTCCCTCTGCACCTTTTCCAAGGTCTCTGTGTTTGCCTTCTCCGCCACCAACTGCAAGCCTCAGTATTTTTTTCCACTTTTTTTTTTTATTTTATTTCCTATTTCGCAAGCTCTCCTAGGCACAACACCATCAGAAAACTAGGAATAAAAGTGATGCTTTCGATTGCAGTGTCGACAGCAGTTCAAAACAGAACAGCTTGTCCATCAGTTCAAAACAAATGTCAAACTGCAGCCTCTTCCCAAGACAAAAAAAAAAAAGAAAAAAATTAAGAATTGTTGCAAAAATGTATGTGTCTATAGTGACCCTGGCCTAAATCACCCTCCTCCCAGACGGACTTATAGCAGGGGAAAAGGAGCCACAACCATGAGTAATCTCTGCGCTTGCTTGGGGACATCTCCATGGGGGCAGCAGGGCCGTCCCTGTGCTGCACCCCAGGGCTCTGCCCTATGAACAACGTGGCCTTGGCAACTGAAAAGCACGAAAAACAAATAGGAAAGAACAGGACCCCGTTTGGTGTTTGCTCATGAGGAGGGTCTCATCTCAGCGGCTCCTCGGCCCAGCACTCATCCGTCCGTCCACATGCCGACACCAACTGTGCACCACCGGGTGTACATGTATGTACCCATATATAAATAAAACACGCCGCTTGTTTGGGGGAGTCTGAAAGGTTATTAAAAGAGGTGAGTTCTCAGCACCCATCCTTGCTTCTAAGAATACTGAAACCCGAGTTCCTACTCCTTAGGGCACAATGTTCCTGGTTTTTATACCACACCTTCCCCAGAGAAGCCCAAAACATGGGTCATGTCTGAGCTAGTCAACAGGGAAGGTTTTAGGAATACATTTAAATATTGTGCTATACTGGTATGCTTAAAACCACTGGGCCCTAGTGTCATTTAGACATTCTGAAATACCAATATACTTGAGTAAAACCTGCACAAGACCATTTATGGAAACAGTAAGCAGGTCTCTGCACTTTTTAGAGCATCAAAATAGTTATCAAAGTCTACAAGAAGCTATAGTATAGTTTTATACATTTTACAAGCTAATTTAGGCTTGCTGAGTGAAGAATCCACAGATCCACAAGGCAGAGGCTTCTTGGAGTACCACACAGTGCTGCTGAAAGCCTGTGGAGCACAGGCTGTTTCTACATGTATTTCATATCAATAATGAGCATATATGAGAGTTTTTTATTGTGTCCACTGTAAAATAATTCAGGAAAAAAAAGGTGGCTGAAAGCGACTTGCACATTTACTTTGAAGTTTAGTAGGCTTCTCTGTAGGGCTCTTCCTGCAATGTAAATTTACTTTACAGAGTTTGCAACCGCGCCAACCATTTACAGGGGTTTAGAAATTATAATAATGATTATAAAGTCATTTAGAAATGACTTGTTAAAAGCCAGCATGGGTGAGGACAAGTCAACTCAACTCCAAGGGCTTTTGGGGCTTGTGCTGAACAGTCCTGGCAAAGAGCAGCAGGTCCCAGGCAGGGTGCAGGGTCCTCACTGCACGCTGCTTCCCTCTTCATTATGGGTGAAAAAAAGACACGAAAAACACCTCAAAACCTTGACACCATCTATTTTTCATTACCTTCATTATCTTCAAATTATATTAGAATAGTATCAGAGAATCATTCGACTTAAGCCAAAAGACAAACTCAAGTACCAATCTAATAGCAAAATTACCAGTCAACTGAAAAAAAAAAAAAGCTTCACATAGATAATAAATGTTAATGTCCTCCACCTCCTTCCCTTTAGAGTATCGGGGAAGATGCAGCACTAAGACTTGTCATGCAATGATGAAGTCATGCTTGGAAATAGTGAGTTATTTCAGGTAAGGCTTTGTGTTGCCAAACTCGAATGTAGCAGCACTTAAGACTGTCACTTTTTATAATGTTTGCCTATAAACTTTTCCAACGAGGGTTTGAATTGGTGCCCAAATGCAAACAGAGAACAGGTGGGATTCTGCAGCTTTATTCTGTCCAACAGTTTCGCAAGGAAAAGCCATGACTTTAAACTGTTAAAAAAATCCCAGCAGCATGTAAACAACTGCACTGCAAAGCTAACCTTCTCTCCAGGACACTGCAGGCCGTCGGGAGCATTTTTACACTACTTTGAGATTCAGGGCCAAATTTCGAACTCACTTTCACACCGTATCATTGCATCGGTGCTGCCCCTGAGGCTTCCATGAGGATTATTTCCCCACTTCCGTGTCATTTGAGCGTAGCAAAATGAGGTTGTAAATTCACCTCAGCCTTCCCTTGTACCCATCCTCTAGTGTTTTCACAGCAGCATCCTCTGGAATTTTCCCAGACATGAGAATCCTAAGTTAAAATAACCAAAATAACATCTCAAAAGGGGGAAGACAGAGCCTGGGAAGCTGTGTCCATAACTCTATCCCGAGTCATCACTGCGAGATTGGCAATTTACTGCATGAGCTAAGGCAAGAGCAGTTTCCTATTCTGAGGTCTCCTGCAAATCCTATAATTGTGGCATTAGTTCCTACTGCAGAGGTGCATTAGCTGATATGAATAACATCTGCCCATGGGTCCTTTTTGAGGAGCAAACCAAACAAGCACAAAAAGGCGCGCGCTGACTTCTGTTGACATTCCTGATCACCAGAGGACAAGGGAGCGAACTTTGCTTCACATATTGTCTGCCCTCAGCTACATCCTTATTTGCAATAGCGGCACATACAGTGCGAGCATATTTATACTGTATAGGTGGAGCCTTTGAACAATATCCCTACAGAAAACAATACTGCTCTTAAATCAACACACATGGGCTTTTTCTTTGCCTACTCATACAGCCTCTCAGCATGGTTTATGCCATCCAGCGATCAAATGGGTTGAATAGTGTTTGCATAAAAGCCGTGGCCACAATAGAGGACTGGGGACACTCAGAAAGCTCTATTTCATATGAGATACACAAATATATTCCCATCATTTTTCTATTCAAGAGCGTTGGAACAAGAGATTTATACTTCCTTAGGTTTTAAATTATTATTATTTGCCTCCATTTATTAAAAGTTAACAAAGAGCTGCTTATCTTAAGGCTCAAGGCATTTAGTTACTTAGTTACAGAGCCAAATAATTAAACAAATAGCTAATAGCTAACCCCAGCAAAGATTCTCACACAGCGCTCCGTAACACAAAGGCCTCAGACCCCATCAAGCCACTTTCCCTTCAAGAACCTTTAGTAAATAACTAAACGCTCACTGCAGCATGCCCAGAAGGGTCAACAGACCTGACCTGTCAGGAATCCAAGAGGTTCCTTGCGAAACTCAATGTCCCCACGGGGATCACCAGGCTGCCAACCATTCCTCCTCACACCGCTGCTCCGACCCTTCCTCCTATTCTTCCTCCCTGTGGCTGTGGAGGATCCGTCCAGCAAGACCGAGCTGAACTATCAGCGGGGATCAAAGCTCATAGAATAGAATCATAGAATCATAGAATGCTTAGGGTTGGAAGGGACCTCAAGAGATCATCTAGTCCAACCCCCCTGCACACGCAGGGTCACCTAGAGCACGTGGCACAGGACTGCGTCCAAGCGGGTTTGAAGATCTCCAGAGAAGGAGACTCCACAACCTCTCTGGGCAGCCTGTTCCAGTGCTCTGTCATCAGCCTGTGCCTGAAGCAGAATAGCCCCAGGCTCCATAACTCTTGGGTCAAACCCAAAACTTGACACACTATCCAAAAGTCACCAGAGAGCATCTGTAGGACCAGGAAACCCAGCTAGAAGGTTTGCAACTTCCCTCCCACCTCTCTGCTACAAGCTGATGGTTGTCCACATCAGCTCTAGCCAGCAGATTTATCTTAGGATCAGTTCCCTGTCCTCTTCTGGCTGGATGACAGGTCCTAAATAAACCCAACCTACCAAAGAAACGGCCACTGGCTTAAACATGAAGTCATTCCTGAGCACGGTGCCTACCTACCCTTAACTGACTGCAGACCTCGGTCACCAAAGCTAAGCACGTCTCCGTATTCAGAAGGGGACAAAGGAGGGCTTGCAATTCCTCCATCTGTTTCTCCAAAGTTACAGGATTCCTGATGTCCTATTTGTACCGCGCTTCCGTCAGCCGGCTGCCAGCTCTGCCCGGCTAGGCCTCGGCCAGGCATAATCAGGAAGTCCCTGTGTTCTAAGAGAATACTTTTTTTTATTTCCTTTCAAACTTACTGAAGTTCACACACAAAAAAGAGAAAGAAAAGAACATTACTAAGAGGAGGAATCATCCCCTCCCCAATGGCTAAAAACATTAGTTGTTCAAATTCGATGAAAAAGATCTAGGCCTGGTAGAAAAACTTCACCAAACGGGCAGCGCCAAAGAGCAGGAGATGCATGGGACGGTTATGAACAAAAAATGTGGCAAATTCTAATTTTTCATATGTTCCCTTAAATAAGCTGCTCTGCTTGAAAACACAGGGACTTCTATAAAACACTAAGAAACAGATTCTCCTAAATAAATCGAGGACTTTTTCCTGGCATATTCTTTAGTCCTATTATCCTTACTCACTAAGGACCCTGTCATTTA